CCTAATTAGACTGATCTCCTTGAGAAGAGTGACTCCCTTTTGGCTTTCTTTGTATCCTCCACACTTAGCACAGTGCTTGGCTCATAGTGGGAAAATAATAAATGCTTATTGATTGAATGACTCTATAATTTCTACTTCCCTGATTCCTTAAATGACTGCAGAAATCTGCCTATCCATAGTCTATGCAGGAGTTGAGATGGAGAAGCGTGCTGGTGTCTTATCTTTCTCAAGTCACTATGACAAGAAGAGGTTATAGTAAAAAGAAACCTTAGCACATCCAGTCTAACTTTGTCTTGTAGAGTCCTGGCGAAATATTGCAACAGATATTAAGGAGGCCAAAGGCAAGAACTACCTTCATGTTTGTATTGCTGTGAGCAGTGCCTAGACCACCTCCTGGCACACAGAAGGTTAATAAATGCTTATTGGTTGATTGAGGTGTGCCATCACTTCCTGGAGAAAGCCATATGAAATAACTTAGATCACATGTAGTTAGGAAGACTTCAAAGAATAGAACTCAGGTGCCCTGACTCCCAGCCTAGGTCAGTACTGCATATATAAATCTTTCCTAAAGTTAACTAATCCTTAAATTTGACTGAAAATGTGTGTGCTCTTCATGATTCAGACTGCTGGAGGTTTTACAAGTGAGAAATCTCGGATTTGCAAAGCTCATAAAAAGATAACTTTACCTTCTGTTAGTTCAAGGATTTGCAGACAGAATACCTCTGTGTTCCTAAGTACACTCTGAATCATGCCTGTAGGGTATGGAATTTTGCATAAGTGTTTTATTGTGTCTGAGCAAACAACAAATAAAGACATCTTTAGTAATGAGAACTGTGTAATGGCTTGAGAGGAGTTTGTCTAATGGTTAACCAATGGTCTGAGGTTTGTGATTAATAATCAAGACCTTGAGTGGAGAAAAAAAGTTTACAAAGGAAGCCCACAGTAAAGGGCTGGACAAAGGAAAGAGAAACTAGGTTCAGGCTTTTATAATGCTAATTCTTTGGATTTATACAGCTTTGATCTTTACTACCATCTCCACAATCTTCAAACAACCCAAGAAGTTGGTAGATGGCTGGCATTATTCCCTTCCAAATTAACCTTTCTCTGTCCTACTTTATCCAAGGTCAACAGTAATTGAGAAAAAAAGATCAAAGAGGTCAGGATTCCTACTCACAAATCATCAGAGGTTTCTTAATGGTACAGTACCAAGCATTTTATTCAAATCCAGCCTCACTTAACATATTAGCATGTGATTTGTTTTAAATGGGTCACTCTGAAGCTTTTTTCTTCCTTTTTCCCCCCTCCTATTCTACCCTTTAATTGCATTATAAGTGGGAGAATATGAGTGAGAACAATTTAGCTTTTTCTACTAGATGACTCGTTGAAGCTAAGAGTGTCATAAATGTCTTCTGAGCTTATAATGAGGTACAATTTGCAATTAATTTCCACATTACTCCAACTATTTTTCTTCCCTGATATGCTTGAATAAGTCAGCATTTCCTGTATCAGGGGTTCTTAACCTTGATTGTATCATGGATCCCTTTGGCAGAATAATGTTTTTAAATGCACAAAACAAAATGAAGAGGATTTTGAAGGAAACTAGCTACACTAAAATACAATTCTCAAAATATATTTAATAATTCATGAACTTCCAACTTAGGAACCCCTGTTTTTATATGTATGGTGACTGCATCTCAAACTAAAAGTTGAGAGATGGAATGTTTTTCTCACAACACTGTGAGATATGTTACAGGGGTAAGGAACCTGCAGCCTTGAGGCCACATGTGACCTTCTAGGTCTTTGGGTACAGCCTTTTGACTGAGTCCAAGTTTTATAAAACAAATCCTTTCATTAAGGGGATTTGTTCTGTGAAGTGTGGATTCAGTCCAAGGGCTGTACTTGAGGACCTAGAGGGCCACATGTGGCCTCAAGACTGCAGCTTCCCCCGGGCAGCTAGGTGGCGGCAGTGGATAGAGCACTGGCCCTGAAGTCAGGAGGACCTGAGTTCAAATCCGGCCTCAGACCAAACACTTGTCACTTACTAGCTGTGTGATCTTTAACCCCAGTTGCCTAAAAAGAAAAACAAAGACTACAGGTGCCTCACTCCTGGACCATTAGGACCACATTATAGATGACCTTGAATGAAAAACTAAGGGACAGGACTTAGTATATAGTAGGGAACCACTGAAACTTTGTCCAAGTCAGGAACACAGTCAGAACCTGCTTTAGGAAAACTAGTCTGGCCATCTCTTCTCAAACTAACCAAATCAGAGAGAGAAGAGACCCAAAGTTAAGGGAATAGTTAAGATTTTGTAGAAAAAAAAACTACTTTGGAGGGAAACCAAGAAAATAGAGGTCATAGGAAAAGAAAATATCAAGGTACATATGCACTGCAAACAGGTGGACACTTAATCAGGCACAGATATCTTTCTTTCCCTTTCTTTATTCCTTTTTTTCCAGGTACTTCTGTCCCACTATCTAATCCCTGCCTATCCCTACTTCAGGCCTTTCTTTCCCTGCTCTTCAAGAAGTCTATTTTACATATCCAATTTTACCCTGCTTCTCTGCCTGTTCTGTTACAGTGATACCCTTTGGAAACTTCTTAGGATGCTCAGAGAAATGAGTCTAGCCAAGGTCTAGAAAATATCTTCAATTGACATGTAGATATTACTTGTCTACTCCTTTTTTAACTTTTTCTTTGCTTACCATAGAAATCCCCAACCAAATCTTCCTTTATTCCAATGTTTAGCCAAACCTCCAGTCATTTGATATAATTACTTTAGCCTTCGTACCTAAGAGCTAGGTATTGGTCTATCTCTTCATAACACTCATCGTACCAAAATAATATGTTGCCTCCAACAAAGGAATCTAAAAAGGCGATCAATCAATAAACATTTATTAAGTATTTACTATGTGTCAAGCACTGCTTAAGATGGGAAAGGTTTCTCTTCATTCATTCATCCGTCATTCATTAAATCATTGTACTGTGCTAGGCAAAGATACATAAGATGGCCCCTATACTCAAGGAGTTTGTAATCTAGAAATTTCTTTACAAGACACTTTGATGTTATCTTGCAGACTAATATGAAACAGATAAGGCTTTTTCTCAGCTTCCCCAGGATATTCAGCTTCATCAATATGATTTTTAAATGTATTTTCTCTATGATCCACCTTCCTGTGAAACATAAAAGCCTATAGAACAATTTGTCTTTCCAGCTGGAGGCCACAGCTCCCATTTCAATGCATTTAATTATGCAGCACTGTCTCATTCTGGATTGCATGATGTAGGAAATGATTTAGAAGGAAAAGATAGTAAAAAATACATTTAAAAACTAGGAGGCCCAGGCATTTAAGAGGATGCAATGTTCAAAGATGTGGAGTAAGTCTGACTCATCTGCAAATAGGGCAATCACTGAATTACCACATCTCAGAGCTGGAAGGGCTCTCAGAGGCTATAAAGTCTAAGCCTTATTCAAATAAGTATTACTTTCAAAGGAAACTCATTCCTCATTAAAAAAAAAACACTTCCCTTCCTGACTTCCCCATTACTATCAAAGACAACACCATCCCCTTTCAACTGGGCTAGCCACCTAGTTGTCATCCTCATTGACAACCTCATCCATCATTCTTTCTCACCTCCCAAATCCAGTCTGTGCCAGGACCTGCTTATCTTATCTTCAAAACATCTCTTGTATGCCTTATTCACTTCTCTGATACTACCACCACCATGGTGCAAGCCCTTTTCACCCCAACACTGAACTATTTGAATAGCCTTCTGGCTGGTCTCCCTGCCTCAAGTCTAGGCCCATTCCAGTCTCTCTTCTACTCAGCTGTTAAAGTGATCTTCCTAAAGCAAAGATCTGACCAAGTCATGTCCCTCTCCTTCCTCTTCATTCAACATACTCAGATGATTCTTCTAGGATAAAATATAAAATCCTCTATTTGACTATTAAAGGCTTTCTCAATCTAGTTCCTTTCTACTCTCTAATCTTCTCAGAACTTACCCCTCTCCACTTCCTCTATGATCCAGTGACATTGTCTACCTTTGTGTTCCTGGCTGCCCTACCACCACCACCACCAGTGGAGCCACCTTCTGCAAATCTTACCTTCTCCAAGAAGCCTTTCCTTAATGCTAATGCCTTCCCTCTGAGACTGTCTCCATTTTATCCTGTATATATTATATTGGTATATATAGTTGCTTGTATAACAATTCTCTCAACAGATTGTGAGTTCCTTGAAAGCAGAAAATGTTTTTGCTTTTCTTTTGTGTTTTAGCACAGTTTCTGGAACATAGTAAGTATTTAATAAATGCTTGTTGACTTAACTTGATGTAAAAAAAAAAGTTGTATGGTTACCTTTTATTTCTACATCACTGTCACTGATGCATATGTAATGGGTTCTAGCCCATCTGCAGAATGCCTAGAATGGTAGGGAGGGGTACTTCTGGTAGAATCATTATAATAGTGTCTTGTAGAGACTGTGGGGTATGGAAGGACATTCTGTAATTGGTTCTGGTTGGCTAACCACTTATTGAAGAAGAAGTTCTTTGAGTGGCCATGGGGGCATTCAAAAAGGTCTGTCAGCATCAACCACTTCTTGCCTTCTTTGCTCTTACAGGATCTCGGTGACTTTTGTTCACGGCATCCAGTGAGAAGCCATGCTGTAAGGGGAAAGACTTTAACATAGAAATCTCTTCACCCTGGACTACTCACATTGGAAGTGCGTTCTGTACCTGAGGGTAGCCTTCTGATAGGCTAGTTCCTCCTCCAATTTAAGTAGGCCCAGGCCAAAGATCTCTTTATCCCTCTTCAGGCTGCACTGCTGATTCATACCCACAGGATTTTCTCTGCTGGGCTCCTCCTTCACCCCTTACCCTTTCAGCACCCTTTCATATGTGGTCTTCCCCATTAGAATGTATGCTACTTAAGTGCAGGTACTGTCTTACTTTCTGCTTGTATTCATGTTCCCAGTATTTGGCCCAGTTCCTGGCAAATAATAAGAGCTTAACAAATGCTTCTTGACTGACTGATGAACTGACTGACCTTCAGAAGTGATCTTCAGTGCCCCAGGCCAGCAGAAGGTGAGAGAAAGATTCATCTGGCACATGGACTCATTGGGCCCAAAACAATGTAGGGACTAAGCTAAATTATGAACCTACTCTCCCTAGAGATTAAAGTCATCTAGGGAAGGTATACCCCCAGGAATTGGTGGAAAGGTTTCTATGTTTGTCCTTGTTGTATCTTTGAAGTAAATATCTCTTTGTAAAAGTTAATGTTAAGCGATTAAATGAAATTGGAGAATTTGTCACTGGCCACTAGCCACTAATGATTGGGGGAACACAGCTAGTAGGGGTTCTAGAAAATGGCAGTAGAGATGAGAGAACCCATATTTTTGTGATACTCTAGGATTCTCAGGGACAGAAGTAGTAGCCTGACTCTGAGAGAGTGAGCCAGTCCTGCCCTCCTGATCACCAGCTATGAATAGCAACTACCATTGCTACACATATACTACAAGATGTACAATCATTCCCCAGTTGTTTTAGTCCCTTCCATTTTAAGGAAGCTCTAAGCCTTAGAAAGTTTTTCCCTTCTATTGTGAAGGAATCTGCCTTTCTACAACTTCTACCTGTTGTTTCTAGGTCTGCCCAGTGAGGTCAAATACAACAAACACAATCCCTTAGTTTTTGTCTTGGTAGCCACAAGTTTCTTGTGTAAAATCTGAAACATTTTTGTTGTAATTGCTGTTCATTTGTTTCAGTTGTATCCAACTCTTTATGACCCCATACTGGTTTTTCTTAGAAAAGATACCAGAATTGTTCACTACTTCCTTCTCCAACTCATTTTAAAGATGAGGAAACTGAGGCAAACAGGGTTAAGTGATTTGCTCAAGACCATACAGCTACTAAATGAATAAATCTGAACTCAAATTTGAACTCAAAAAGATGAGTCTTCCTGACTGCAGGCCCAGCACTCTACTGCACACCTAGCTGCCTAATATGAAGAATGTGATATTACATATGAAACATAGTAGTCAATTAATGTTTGGTGGATTGAATAGAACTGAAGTTAAATGATTGAATTAAACCTTATTTCTTGTTATACCTTCAGGAACTAGAAGGCAATTAACACACACCTACCAAGTTTTCTCTTCTGTAGACTAAGCATCTCCAGGCTCTTTAGTCGTTGATTTGGAGACAGAAATTGAAGGTATAATGTGAGTATCCTTCTCTCTTTTCTGTTATGTATTCTTCCTCCTTCTATACCCTTACTGTCTTACTATTAATATCACACACACACACACACACACACACACACACACACACCCCACTACCACCACCAATTTGTCCTTTGTTCTATTCTCTACTCTCTCTGAACCATTTTCTTTCATGAATTTATCCTGTCTCATTTCAACTACCCACTCTATGGGGCTAACTATAGTTCCTAACTCTAGCTCCATTAAGCTTTCACTATAAACTCTGATCCTTATTCTCCATGTGATTCTGTTTCCATCACTTCAAATTCATTTTCTCTATGGATTTTATCGCATCCTATGCCAAATCAGTTTTCCACTCTGATTTCTGTCACTGATACCATTCTTCTCTCCATAACATATACTTGTAGTAATATCTGTCTTTTTCTAATCTTTTCAAAACAGTTAACCCCCTCAAATCTTTAATCTTGGATTTGATATCAGGGGCTAATATTCTGTTTGAACTCCCATCCATTATATGTTCTCCCAGCAGAACAGATAGGAGTTTTAAACTAAATAGAAAAGTATTTAACTAAGATGATAGTTTGGGAAATAAACTAATAAATCAAACACTAGACCATTCTCAACCTCCCATACATAAATGGATGCAACTCTCCCAGAAAACTCACACTTCAGTGAGTTGTATAGCTATTGAAGGTTTGGGGGAAGATTCAGTCATTCCATTTCTCTTTCCAACTTAATCTAGTTAGCCAATATAAAAGATGTACCATGGCAGGATTCACTGGGGCACAGGGAGCAATTTACTTCTTCCACTTGGAGTTGGGCTCCTAGGCATGCCCATGCTTAACAGCTCAGAACTCATTTCCTTGCTCTGAGAGTCTCAGGAATATTCTGAGATGGCTGAGTTCCTCAGTGGAATCATTGGAGGCTCTCCACAATATAGCTAAACTCTGTGATGAAAGTTCCCATGTCTAGGAAGAGATTTCCTGGTATTTCTATCTGGGGAACTCTAAACAGGCATCATGGTAAACATAACTAAATAGGAAATTCAATCCAAAATTCTATTTATCTAGTCTCAATTTCCTCTCAATTTTACCTTTAATGTGTATTTTAAACTCATTTCTTCTCCTTTTTCACCGCCCCAGTGATATGCCATTTTCTCATCACCTTATGCCTGTCATAATGCAGCAACCTCCTAAATACTCTTCCCACTGCTAGCATTTCCACTTTTCAATCAGTCTTGTGAACCACCACCCAATCAACCTTCTTTTTTTTTTGGTTGTTTTTTTTTTAAATTAGTTAATTTGTTTTTACTTTTCAACATTCACTTTCACAAGATTTTGAGTTTTAATTTTTCCCCCTCCCTCTCTTCCCCTCTCCCCAAGATGGCGTGAAATCTGATACAGGCTTTACTTACACATTCATATTAAACATATTTTTACGTTAGTCATGATGTAAAGAAGAATTAGAACCAATGGGAGGAACCATAAAAAAGAAGAAACAACACAACAAATGAAAAGGACAGCAGCACAACAGAACCTATTCAATAACCTTAGCTTTAGTGAATTCTCTGGGGCACTGGCAGGTTATATGACATCACAAGATTGATGACCTAGAGTTTCAAAGGACCTCAGAGTCTATATTTTGAATCCCCTCCTTTTACATATGAAAAAACATAGACTCAAGAGGATTAAATGACTAGCTCTAAGGTTCTGAGGCCATCATATATCAGAGGCAGAACTTGAACCCAGACCTTTTTTACTCCAAGACAAGCTCTCTATTTATTATGCCATGCTGCTTCTACTTCATGGTTATTCAAGGTAAATCGAAAAAATAGTTATTTCTCTAAAGAACATGATTTCCATACCAACCCCAATTAATATAATCACAGAAGGCTCAGAAAACTAGATTGAAACAAAAAATCAAACATGTTAACCAGGAAACAAGAGAAAAGAACACACATTTATTAAGTGTTTGCTATGTGCTAGTCACTGTGTAAAGTGCTGAAAAAATTATTTATCAATTTGAAAGGAAGGGTAAGAGTGGCTTTGAATCATTGAATGAAAGTAGGTCATATCATGTAGGGAACATCTGGTGACCGGCTGAAATTTGGATTTCAGTAGCATTCAGTTGAGTGATTGAATCTAATAATCAAGGACTCCTAATAAGGAATTTTACTTGGTTAAGGGTCATGGGGTGAATACTTAATCTTCCTCACTCTTCAATGAACTTGTGAACTTAAAAAAATTGGAAGATATAAAGTTTTCTTTGGCATCTACAGCAGGGTCCCCATAGCCACAATGACTGGCAAAGGCAAGTGAATACAAGGAACACACCAAGGAAAGGCAGCTTCAAAATTCTACACAGGACTGGCTTTTGAAACCAGAGAAGTATTACACCTAAGGAGAACTTCATGAGGTTTCCCAGAAGGGAGAAAAGGATTTCCAATAATCAGGAGCTATAAATTTATACATTAGATGCATGTGCTCTCTAAATTTAAGCCCATTCTCCCTAGGAACCTGATGTGTAGAAAGGAAAAATGCTCCCTCAGAGTTGGAGATGTTTCTGTAAAAAGATCCTTGCTATATCTACTTAGTAAATAATCTCTCTAGCTAGTTGTCTATCTTATAATCAAAAGAAAGTACAATGGTAGGGGCTTATGAGCAACAGCATAAAGAACTCCAGTGGTCTTTAAGGTTGCCCCATGAAGACCTGACCTCCCAATGCAATGGACCTTAAAGTAATAGAGGGAGTTTAAGAATTTCTGATAAAAAGGTCAGAGATGACTAGGAATTTTGAAATACAAGGACAGAATCAATAGAAAACTAGAAAGGTAAATTCTTTTGAACAATTTTAGGAAGCTACATGATAATCTAGTGCTAATATTCTAGTGAGAGAGAAGGAAAAAGTGACCATGCAGAATCTTAATGTCTCCAAAGGGTATTGAGAGAGACAAATAAGAGAAACAGAAGACCTGGAGGTAGAACCATCTGTTCTGGTGGTTTTAAGAGGAGAGATAGAAGAAAGAGTAAAAAGAATACACTAGTACGGAAATGAACAAGAATTAGGAGTGGGATAGAACGGGTTATTTCTCATAATTGGGGTACATGAAAAGATAAAGACATGGAGTAAAAGGTTTAGAGAGAGGGTAGAGATAAACTTCACTTTCTGAAGTGGACAAAAAATGGTTGAACACACAGACATAAACACTTTGGTAAAGAAATTCATCAAACTCAACAGAGAAACAAGTGGGGATAAGAAGGGGGCAAGTTTAAGGAATATAATACTAGGGAGAGAAGAATCACAAACAAACATTTCCTGATCCTGATAGGGAGATTAAAAGGAGGTGAGAAAAAAGGAAAAAAAAAACAACTCTAGAATCTAAAGGAGTGACTTCAATTGCCTCTTCTGCAGTTGGAGTATGGCTAAACATATTGTAGCATATGAATGTAATGGAGTGTTTTTGAGCTATAAGAAATAACAAAAAATAACCAAAAAAAGACAATTTCTGAAAATCCTGGATAGTATGAACTGATGTGAGTGATGTGAACAGAACCAGGAGAACAATTTATACAAGACAGCAACATTGTAATGGAATGCAAATTTGAAAGATATAAGAACTCTCAGTAAAGCAGTTACAAATCATGTCTTCAGTGATTTATGGTGAAGCATGTTAACCACCTCTTGACAGAGAAGTAATGGACAAAAGGTACAGCAACATACATTTTTGGATATCACCACCATGTGGATTCATTTTGTTTGACTATGCTTATATAAAGGCTCCCCCCTTCTTGGTTTAAAGTTGGGGGGGTGAGGTTGATGAGTGGGGGCTTAGCAATACTGATGCAAAGGAGAGACAGACAGAAACAGAGACAGAAAGACAGAGAGAGATACAGAGAGAGTTAAGTATAACATTTTTTAAACTAGAAGAAGAAAGCAGAAGTTCAGAAGGAAGTACAAACAAGAAGGATAGATTCAAGAGTAATGTGTAGAATTTGTAATATACTTTTTTAAAAAAAGCAAGTGGTATAATATGGAGATTCACAGATTCATGTAGAATTCTCTTTTTGAGTTCCATTGTGTACATAGAAAGGCTTTTTTTTTTGGTGTCTAAGTTCAAATTTTTAAAAATAGAATTACTAGCTTACTTTTGAAAACTTTATGAAAGATTTTCTGGTTTTTAATAAAAATTGTGTTTGAGGCAATCAATCAATAAATATTTATTAAGCACCTACTATATACTAGGAACTGAGCTAAGTGCTGGGGATAAATATATATATATATATACATATATATACATATATATATATATGTATATATATATATATATATATATATATATATATAGACAATCCCTGCCCTCAAGAAGCTTGCAATCTAATGAGAGGGGACAACACAGAGAAGGAGGATAAAAAAGAGTGAAGGATGAGGTTCCATTCAATTATGTTTTCCAAGTATATCTTTACCTGTTACAGGCTAACACAACTTACCAGTTAAAGTTTTAGCATTCTCCACAGAAATTCTATTCCCCCAAAGTCCTACTTTGTTACCTCCACAAGGTGTTTGGTGGGCTGGGTTCTCAACTTCAACAGCAGAAAGCAAGTTCTGTCAAGCTGTGCCATGCTTAGGGAGTGTCCAGTGTGTCCAGTGAAATAAAAGATCAATTAGGAAGAAGTAGGAGGATCTCCAGCAAATGAGGGCCTAATTGAGATTGGGCAACATAAAATTGCAGAAGATGCAGTGAACACAGTTTCATGACTTTCTCCACTTTCATTTCTTGAGAAAGTGTAAAAGAGGAAGATGGTGGGAATAATCCCAGTTTGAAGTTTGGCAAGGCCTGGTGCAACAAAGCACAGGATTGAGGGATTTGAGAGTAGAGGAGAATGTAGAGTTGGATGGATTCGCTAGGAGTCAAGACTGGGAATGGAGGAGAGAGTGCCCATCCATTAATCCTGCATCATTATGTATCATAGTTATTTCTGACATCAAATGTAGTCCTTCTT